GGGAAAAAATTTAAAAAATTTTAATAAATATTGTTAGAAGGAATTATAATTTATGGTATAGACAGATAATTAATTATAGAAGAATGTAAATTATTTGATATGCGGAGTATATACAGGTATGAAGTGGATTTGATAAATAAATAAATATTTATATGATTGATGAGTGTGGTTATGGCGGACGAGAATTTAATGTGATTGAGAATGTGCCCGATGGATGGGCTGTGTGTGGATATGTCCGACATGTAAAATTTGGATTTTGGACAGTTTAGTTTATAGAGGATATGCTGCTAAATTTTCGGCAAGACACTGAATAAAGAATTAAATTAGCTGTATCCTTAATAAGTAGTAACAACTAAAACTTTTGGTATTATTATTATTATTATAAAAACATTACTTTATTAATTAGTGTATAAAAACATTACTTATTAATAATTTAGCGCTTTATTACAAGTTATTAAATTAAGCAATAGATAAAATCAATAGACGGAAGATAATATATATATATATATTAATATATATATATATATAATATATATGTATATAATATATAATTGTAATGTATATATATAATTAAGTTCAATGAGTTAAGATAAATAGCTACAGAGCCTCAAAAAGTAATAAATGAATGCAAAGTACATTTATGGAGTCAGGATTCTTACATAGAATTTTCTTTCTAGATGCTTATAAAAATTCCAGGATGGTGAGTCAAAAGCTGGAAGGATGCAGTAGTAGAGATAGTCTTTAAAGGACAATAATGAACTGTGAGTAGTGTTAGATAATCTGCATCATCCGCCTGCATTTGTATTCATGCATTCACGATTAAATGTTATCATGCATTACTTTTTTAAATTGCTATATTTTGCTACAATATTATTACGATTAAATATTGCTTGATTATTTGTGTTGTGATATTGATGTGCCTTATTTGTGTGTAATTGGGATGAAGTGGGTCACTCTGGTTTTGTGAGGACGGTCTATGAAATATGGATCCGGAATTTGATGTCTCAATCCATAGCAACATCAACAGCAACAGCCCCAGCAACATCAACAGCAACAGCCCCAGAAAGAGCAACATCAGATCTAGAGCGGGTGCTGAAGCTCTCAACAAAAAGAATTCAAAACCGCCGACTTGGATAGAGACTGAATCTGATCATTTTCATTTGTCTGCTGAAGCTCCCCTTTTGATTTATGAAATTATGGAATTGGATCGTTGGCCCGGTATGGGAGATTGGCGCCCCCGTGTACACCTGAAGATATCATATGGAAAAGAAAAGAGAGATTGGAAAAATAATGAAAGGGCTGGTTAAGTGAGGATTAGACCAATCGGCCAGGTATGGGGATTGGCTCCCTGATGCACACGTTATGAGAGGATGAGCCATGTGGAAGGACGGCTCATTGATGGTTTCGGTGACGCCACTGGCTAATTTCCACGTGATATGATTATGTGAAAAATCGGCCAGGTAATGGGGATTGGCTCCCTGAATGCACACGTTATGAGAGGATAGCCCTGTGGAAGGACGGCTTCCGATTGATGGTATTCGGGTGACTCCACTGACTAATTTCCACGTGATGTGATTATATGAAGGTGATAATAATTGTGATTGCTGTTGTATTGCCATTTGTGTGACAAATTGCATGACCATGTAACTAATTGAGTGATCAAATAAAAATAGTTTAGCATTTGTATGATTGTGTGGGGTGAGAGGGTTATCTAACCTTACTCATTGAGTTTGGCGTTCATCCCTGCCTACTATTTTTTTTTTCAGGTAATAGAAGAAAGAAGAGTCCTATGGAGTTGAAACATTAATTATAGAAGACTGTTAATGAATGAAATAATGAAGTAAATTAATAGTTGTGTTTAGCCATGTAATGTTCAAGGACTGTAGATTTTAGAGTTTTCGCGAATTTTGTATTTCAAATGGGTTTGTAAATGAATAATAAGAATATATATAAAATATATGAACTGTATTTACTTGTTAATAGTTGTGTTAGCCATGTAAATGTCAAGGACTGTAGATTATAGAGTTTCGCAATTGTATTTCAAATGGGTTGTAAATGAATAATAAGAATATATATTAAATATATGAACTGTACTTTTGTTATAATTGTGGATTAAAGTTATTGGGCTTGTAGCCACTATTATGAATAGAATATGAGTTTAATTAATAAAGGCTTACTACGGGCCTCGGAGTCCTTAAACCCACCCAGGTCCTAGTGCCGGTCTGGCTCACAGAAACGGGTTGTGACACAAAAGTAAATGAATTTTCAATTATGAATTTATTTTATACATGATTATATGGAATTCAATTGAATTACATGTTTTAAATTAATCATACCAAACATGAAAAATTTATTCACAAATGAATTCTACTACAAATAAATTCCATATTTTGAATTCATTTATACCAAATGGAGTGTTAAACTTTGCATTTTAGGTTTGTGCTTGAATTTTTAATTAGAAAAAATTATTATTTTACCAAAATTAACTAGCTTCCCTGTATTTTTAGAAGTACACTGTTTTTTCCTTATATATTGCCTCCATTAACTAGTATATCCTTCCGTCCAAATTTTATACATTTTCCTTTAAATATCCTATAAAAAGACCAAAAAGTCCTTATTTTAAGAGAACCTCATCTTGATCTCTCCATTTATCTAACAATACCCTAATTCCTCTCTTCTCTTTCTTTTCTCTCTTTCCTCTCCATCTCCACCTTAAACTAGTCTAATACACTCTCTTCACAACCCTCACTACTTGACTTATATACCTAACATCAAATTTGGCAACAGGCTCCATGCCCACGCGGTCAAGTTGAGCCTCATAAGTTTTTCTTTTACATTGCAAATCTCCTCCTTTAGCTATAGGCAAAAGTGAAAAAAGAAATTGTCTCTATCAATTGGATTTTTTATGAAATTGAAGACCCAGATGTGAATTCGTGAGATGATTCACGCTAAGTTTTCGAATTTTGTTAAGTTTGTAACGTGAGGATTTTGGATGGATGGTTTACTAAGTTCGAATATGTTGAGTTTTTGAAAATTATTTTAAAATTTATATTGAGTTTTTAATTTTGTGACATGGGCTTATGAATCTCCCATTTTCTTTTTATATAATTCTCTTTGAATTTCAAAATCCAAGTTTATAAGTTGGAAATTTGGGATTAGGGTATAAATCATGACCAATGATGTATATTTAATCTATAATAGTGAGAATGGGAAAAAGAATATTATAATTGGTAAAAAAAATATAGTTAATTTCAGTAATGACAAAATGTTAATGAATAAATTAAAAATCGCTATAAAGTAAGATTGCTGATATTAATTTTATAAATTAAAATTAATATTTCTAGTAAATTAGGAATCTTAATATTTTCGAACTAATGTTTTACCTTTCTAATATTAATTAGTAAAAACTATCTTATAGCTTTCTAATATTAATTAATAAAAGCCATCTTATTTCTTAAGGAAAGTTATTTTTTATTGAATTAATCAACTCAATGAAAAGGAATATTGTACTACACTTTACCTTCTATTGAATTAATCACCGCAAAATTTAAGACAAGCTTTTAATGCAACACCATTCATGCTCTCTTTCGCGGTGTTACGGGATATGTCTTGTATTATCATTTCTCAGCAGTTTATAAAAAAATTAACCTTAATCATCCTCACTCAATTAATATTCCTCGCAGAAAAGGTTATTGATATATTATGATTGAAGATATAGACAATTGGAATATAAATAAAATCACTGTTATCACGTAGAATGTTGTATTAATTTCAATTAGAAGCCAAAATATTAATGTAGTATAATATTCCTTTTCATTGAGTTGATTAATTCAATAAAATATAACTTACTCCTTAAGGAATCAGACGACTTTTACTAATTAATATTAGAAAGCTAAAAACATTAGTTCAGTATTATAAAATATTAATATTCATAATTTATTGAAACTATTAATTTTAATTTATAAAATCAATATAAGAAATCTTACTTTATACATATTTTTAATTTATTCATTAGCCAACATTTTTGTCATTATTAAAATTAACCATATTTTTTTTATGACTCTCAATGTTCTTTTTCTCATTCTCACTATTATATAGGTTATATATACATCCTTAGTCATGACATCACATTTATATTAATTTTTTTAAAATTAACTTTATCTCACATCTCTTTTATGAAGATCAGCATATTAGATATTATTATTTCGAGACATAACATGATTCAATGAGAACCAGTGATCCGAATAGTATATGAGCATATCGCTTGGCGCGGGACACAAGCTTGATCCCTCTACATCTCTCATCTAACCAATAAAAAAAATATTAAGGAAATTATGACCATTCTACCTATCAAGATTCTAATTGAGCTGGACTCAACTTGAGCCTCTTTATGGTTTAATTTAAATTAGAAATAATGAGTTTGAATTTACAAAATGGACCAATATAATAAGCATGATCTAATAGGCCAACATAATATGGGGAGATTGATTTGATGTATCAACAGGTCAATAGGTTTGGTTTAGGCAAGTCCAAATTGGTTAAGGAAAACCATAAAACTGACAGACATTTTACATTTAGAGTTATGTAAGGTTGTTGGATTAATAAGACAATAGCATTTTGCGTGCTTTTTTATTTGAAGACAAAGGCAAGTATAATTCTGCCGGACTTAGCTTAATTGGCTTGAATGAATTTTGCACTTCGACATATATTGCTGAAAATGATTTGCAATTACCTAAAATCGGAAACTAGAAAAATAGGAGTTATGGAAGAAAAAATCTTTTAATGCCGAATTAGGATCAATTAGGACAAAAATAACGGATTAATTATTTCGCCAAATTGAATTTCCCAAATCTTCTCAATAAATAAAAAAATGAAGGAATCAATGAAAATAAATGATCTACTCAAATGGTAATAGCGGATAACCTTTGCATCATCGAAGGTTCAATCAGTAAGAAAAACAAAGACAGAAAAAGAAATTTGTGAAATGTTTTATTGAGCTTAATTAGTTGATGACATTACATTGTTTTCTAATTTCACCTTGAGTACCAGTAAGAACATCAAGAGAACCCATATGAACCATTGCCTTTGCAAACTTAGCAGCCCACAGTCTGCTATTTCTTGCATTATTCATTACAATATTCTGTGTTGAGGGACTATTCATTAATGTCTGATCTGAAGTCAGTAATCCTCTATTCTTCTTCAATTCCATATAATATCTATTATCCATCTGATTAGGGGTAGGATCAAGCGCCACCGTTGGATCACTACTAGAACCCCCATCATTAGGGCACCTAGTCTTCAAAAAAGCTGCATATGTAGAATCCATGGACAGATCTTGAGCATGGGTCGCATTAAAAGAATAAAGACGGTTAGAAAATGAAGAACAATGCGATATTCCAATCGAATGGGCTCCTGATAATGTCACCATTTCATCGACTGACATTCCTTTACGGGCGAAATTTTGTGAGAGTTGTTCTGCATTGAAGGTTGGAGGTGGCAGATTTTGTGCTACTTCATCTACGTTTGATATGCGTCCATCTCGCCTTCCTGCCGGAACTGCATAGTTTATGCCTCCAAGTTTTTTGGAGCTGTCTCTTGCTGCGAATGCAAGAATGTCTGCGCATGATACTGTTTGTGGACATGTTGCTTCTATTTGTGCTTTGGCTTCGTTAATTACTTCGAAACCTCGTAAGCTTGGATTGTTAGCTCTGTGTTCTCTTTCTGACGGCTTTCCTGGTGTGGATTCTAGCAGTACTGATGCATCACAACCCTGTAAACAGAAATTATCGAATTAGGATTAAGAAGAAAAGCCAAAAATGTAAAAAAAAAAAAAAAAAAAAAAAAAGCAGTACTCGATGCATCACAACCCTGTAAACAGAAATTATCGAATTAGGATTAAGAAGAAAAGCCAAAAAATGTAAAAAAAAAAAAAAAAAAAAAATCTAAAACATGTTGTTTGTATTAATTCTAATTAACACTGTTAGTAATATTTAGCATCAGCAGAAAAAAAAAAAAAAAAAAAAAAAAATCTAAAACAGTGTTGTTTGTAATTAATTCTATTAACACTGTTAGTACTATATATAGCATCAGCAGAAACTCAGAAGCTGACATATAAAATGTTTCCAAAACTCGGAAACACCTGGGTGTTTGCATGTATCATAGTAAGTCCTAACTGATGTAAAAATTTACACCATATAATAAATTGCCACTTGACAATTATTTTTTTTTATCAGAAAATAAATTTATTTCATTATATATTACCACGGAAAATTTAAGGAAACCCATAACTAAACCGAGCCAATAGGCTTTCCTGTAAATTCAAACCTGATTGCATCACTTGATACATATTAGTTTAGTGTCATATCAGTATAGACTAGTAAATAATAATATCAAGTTATATACATACTTAATTATCAGTAGAATAAATCAATGGTTTCTGTTTTCTTTAAACAGCATTCCCTATTTTATACAAAAATCATGAATTCACATATTAATTTCTTTTGTAATTTTCTGAAAATAAAAAAAAAAAATGGAAGAAGAAGCAGATACAGGTGAAAATAAGTACCCTGATAAAGCAGTCATGGAAATGCATTCTAATAAGGCCGGCCCCTAATTCTGGATTGCGAGAAACAAATTTATTTACTGCTCGTCTCACAATTGTTTCTGCTAATGGACATGTTGATTTATAGAATCCCACTCTAAGCGATGCTGATGAAAGCGTCGCCAATGAGCACAACAACACAAGAAAAATAATCCAAGACGACATATCGTAAGAGCTAGAATTCAACTTATAGCAAGTACCAAAACTGATTATTAATCAGCAAATTAAAGATAGAAAAGAATAGGCAAAGGAGAGGAAAATGATGAAGAAGTTCATTATTAGTTGAAGATTGATGAGATGGAACAGATATGTATGTGTGTGTGACAGTGTGTGTGTCTATATTAATTTATATAACAATGAGCTTTTACAGCTCTCCCGTTGAATCATTTTTCATGTGTTTTTATGGCCTTTATAGACGAAATATTTGTACCGTACAGGGACAGAATTAATTTTTAATATCAATCAATAATAATAATAACTCAAAATATACAGCAGTGAGATAGGATGACAGGAATCTCTTATCTCTTAATTAGATATTTTAAATTTGAATCTTGGATATGAAGTACCTTTAAACATTCAGTAGGGAGCTTAATTAGATTTTTTTATATTCAACTCTAAATATAAAGTCTCTTTAAATACTCGGGAGGAAGCGCTTTCCTCTCTTTATGGATGTGCTTGTCGCGAATCTATATTAGTCGGGACATTGTACTCTGGAGGATTAAAATCAGTCATAATAATAATAATTCAAGAACTCAACGCGAACAAATAAAACTTTGGTGCAAACTAGTAGTTTATTGTTAGCTGATGATGGATTTGATTGAATATATATATATTGTAATGTGGCAGTGGAGTTGGTGATTTAGGAATGGGTGAAAGTTTGAAGTTTTGCTTGTGAGAATATATAGTTGTACGTGTCGTGCATGTGACATAGGATAGCCCACCACCATGTTACATTAATTAATTAATGGATATATTGCTTCATCTCTTCTGGCATCCTTCCTTTCTCCTTGTCCTTTTTATGATGGAGTATATATTTAGTTTTCTTTAATATTACTTAATCATATATGTAAAATATGATAGCTCACCACCTTTAAATATTCCCCAACTTTTATCAGAAAATATATTTTTTATAGATCCTGTTAAAGAATATATTCGCGAATTTAGCATTGCATATCAACCTAAAATGTTAAGACAATGATTCCTTCTTAAATGTATGTTTACCTTTATTTATATAAGAGGATTCCTAAGATCTCCATTTCATACATTCTTAAAGGATCTCCAATGCAATCATGAATTGTGGCTGATGTGTTTTAATAAATAAAAGTTATGGATGGTGATGTGGTTAAATGTGTATTTCTAGATTTTAAATTTTAAAAATGGTTCTCCAATGCACAAATAAGAAAATCAATTTTAGCGCAAGAAGAAGTTTAAGTGCAGATAAAAGAGAAGCATAAAGTAAAATAAAAATAAATAAATAAATAAATAAAAGAACAAAAAGCTGAGTCACGCAGTCTAATAGATTTTTGAAAACAGAGAGCGTGATAGACAATGTCTTTATTTCTTTTTGATACATTATATTGACAGACCAAATAGATAATATCGTTAGAAAAAGTTTTTGTTTTTAACTTTTAATTTTTCAGACTTGGCAAATAAATTAATGCAATCAACAATTACATCGAAGATGGTCTTATAGAAAGTGCAAAAAAAAGCTATATCCTACATTACCTGTAAACAGTAAATTTTAGCCACTAAGGGCAAAAATTGAATGAAAGCTTAATTTTAATGAAAATAAAAGTTGGGGGCTTAGCTTTAATAAAAATTAAAGTTTAGTGACTTGATATTCTGATAGAAAATTTCAACTTAACATGAGTATGAGAACAAATTTTCCTTGAAGATAATTACAATTTAAAATAATTGGATTTTAAGCCCAAGCCCAAGATAATTACAGCTTTACCATTTGTAATCTTACTTCCAGACTACAAATTCTGACATTCTCAAATTTTAATCCAGGATATTCACTACTTAATGAACTGAATCCAATAAGAATAACTCAGAATTTCATATATCATTTGCCCATTAGACATTTTTCAAAACTTGACTATATATCCTAATCAATGACGAAGCCAATAATTAAAATTAAAGGGGCTAAAAAAAATTCAGGAGTTAAAAGGAATGGCTGAATTGAAAAAATTTACTATTTTAAAGAGTCAAATAAAAAATTTCAATAATTTTTGGGATAATTTTTTTTTTTTTTAAATTTGGTTAGGGGGCGGGAGGCCATCCCAACCCCTAGCTCCGTCGGTGATCCAAATGGTGTTCTAAAACTAGAGGCCAAGTACATTCTCCTACAAAATTATAGCTATGCAAAAATTGATGTGGCCTTAATTTAACAAAACATAACTGTCCACCAAAAATCAAATCAAGAACACAAACTACAATAAGAATTTTTCTTAATTTTTTCCTCCATAATTTCACATTCTTAATACACAGTTACAAATTATATCTCGAATTCCATATATAACGTTTTATAGAGGTTAAGAATTCCACATCAACTAAATATCAAATCCATCAAGAGCATATAAGGGTAAAGCTAGCTAGCTAATTGGTTAACACGAACATTTTTACATTGGTTGGCCCAACCCCAAATTGTGCAATAATATTATATTAGGATCTAAAATCAATAATTATCCGTTTGACAATAAAAGTTTTAACCGAATGCATCAACTTATTATTTTTTCAATATACAGTGATCATAAACTCTAACTATACCTAATTCCAATAATAATCACCCAAAATAATTTTTAACCCTACATTAATTTAAATAAATCCTAGTTATAACATTTCAAATGAGCGTTAATACACTCTTTGATCTCGTCCGTGTATAGAGTACATTACAAGTTCGAGGGTTCAGTAAAAACAAAAAATTCCCAAATTATTCAATCGGTAAATTTGATAAAGTTCGCGGTTCATATCCATTTATATGTTATTTTGCATGTAAATTTTATGGTTGGAATATAATCATTTTAAACAAATCTTTTAAATCTCCTTTGTATAGGTACTATGGTTTTAAAATTGCCGATTCCAGTTATAAAAAAGGTGAAATTAGAATCGAATTATTTTTAGACGGTTTCTAAGATGGTTTCAGAACCATCAATTTCACTTTTTTCCCGATTTCGAACCAAAATTAAATAATATATTTTAAACATTTTAAAATACTTTTTAAAGATTTATAACTTGAATAAATAATAATAATAAATATTATGTTGAAAAAAGCTAAATTAATTTAATAAAAATTCTTAAAAATTACTTTAAAAAACTATAATAAAACAAAAAAAATAAATCGAGAGTGTCTTTAAGAATATGTTTTTCCCGGTTTCAAATCGGAACCGTCGGTTTTAAACCAAAACCGCAGGTTTCGGTTCTAAAAAATAAATAATTGGAACCGAACCTTAAGTCTATGGTTTTAGAACCAGAACCTTTGACCACGGTTTAATAGCAGTTTTGATTGGTTCGATTTCAGTTTGGTTCCGGTTTGAAACCGAACTGTGACCATTCCTACCTTTGTGTAGTACTATCAAAACGGGCCTAAGCCCGGGGACGGTCCGGGCTAGTCCATAAATTTACGGATCTGAAAAAATTAATTTAGGCCCGTTTTCAAAACGAGCTTTTTTACCCGGTCCATTTTTTATCAACGCCTGGGCGGGCCAGGCCCAACGGGTCCGCAAACTATCCTTTTTTTTTTTTTTTTTTTCCATTTTTATCAACGCCTGGCGGGCCCAGGCCCAACGGGTCCGCCAAACTAGCCTTTTTTTTTTTTTTTTTTTTGCATTAAATATGTGATTGATCGATGGATTCGGACGTCTGAGAGCGAAGATATTTCTATGGTGAAGATTATCTTTTCGAGTTAAAAGTTTAATTGTTGAGGGAGCAGAGAGTTGAACATGAAGCCTCCCTATGTGAATATATATAATATATATATATATAGTTATATATACATATATATCTATATATTTTTTTTTTTTTTCTTTTAACTTTAACAAAAACAATAATTTTTTAGTTTAATCCCTGACGTTTCAGTTCAATATAAGTAACTAATCAAGCTTCATGATGGTGATTTTCAATTTTATGTAGTTCTGGGAATGTAGTGCTTTATTTATTTTTCTGTCTCGCATCTCTGCTTCAGCTTTCAAGTTTCAGAAGAGGGAGAATTGAGAAACAAATCCTAAATACAAACAATTGATCAAAGTTCAAAAGAAAGTGTATGCAACTGTTTTATCTAACTATCATATAGAATTAGTCTTTGGTGTTCTTGTACTTGATTCGAGACCATGAAGATCTGGTGTTGTTTCAATGTCTAAAAATCTTTTGTGGTGCTCAAACATTTGTTTCGCATTTAATTCAAGATTTATTCTTCTGCAGACTCCACCTGTGTTATATTTCCTCTAACTAATGCTACAGTTCTCAAAATTGGTATATCATTCTTTCATATAAAAATCTGTGCCTTTCATATATTATACTCTTAAATGTTTCTCATATATATATATATTGATATTTATTTATTTATTTGTATTTATATTTATATTTATATTTATTGTGTATATAATCATTATATCGTGTAACTATATATATATAAAAGGTTCACGTTAATTCTCATAAGGGACAACATTTTATTTTCAAAGTCGTAAAATTGCAATTTTAAAAACGGACATGATCGAGTCTAAATATTAGAGTCCTGTTTTTTAACGAGCTTTTTTTAGCTCGGCCTGTTTTGACATCGAGTCTACGTGGGCCGGGCCTGGCTGAATAGTCCGTTTTGACAATGCTACCTTTGTGATTAATATTTGAAAAAAAAAAAAAAAAAAAAAAAAAAAAAAAAAAAAAAAAAACAGAATGAGAGTCTAAAGCCCATTAACCAACAGAGCAAATTTACTAAGCCTAGGCATGACCATGGTTTTAGAACGGCAGGTTTGGATTTCAAAACCGCCGGTTGCGGTTATAAAAAAAGTGGAACTAAAACTGAATCGCTTTTAGATGGTTTCTAAAACAGTTTTGAAACCGTTGGTTTTGATTTTTTTTCGGTGTCGAACCGAAATTAAATAATATATTTTAAACTTTTTAAAATATTTTTTTAAAGATTTATAGCTTGAATAAATAATACTAATAAATATTAATGTTGAAAAAAACTAAATCAATTTAATAAAAATTCTTAAAAATTACTTTAAAAAACTATAATAAAACAACATAAAAGTTGGGAGTTTCTTTAAGAAAACGTTTTTCACCCTTAAAATCGGAACTGCCAGTTTCGGTTTCAAAAAATGAAGGACCTGAATCGAACCTTAAATTTACGGTTTCG